TGTTTACATACTCACTTCCGTCGCGGATGCGACTAGTGCAGTGACATACGAGTCCGAAACATCATCCACTCCTGACCTTGTATTACAGCTTGCTTGAGGACCTTTTGCCGTTCCGTTATCTTGCATGGGCTTTCGACGACGAACCCTTTGCAGCTACAGGGCGCATAGGATCTTTGGTTTGAACATTAACAACATGCTTAAAGACAAGTGGATCCGGGCATTGTGCAGGGCGGGGGGGGGGGGGGGGGGGGGGGTTCATCACCAAAAATGCTGAAATGCAGGGTTCGACCTTAACTTCTTTTGTTTACTATAGCCAGCCGGGCTACTGAAACGGACTCTTAACTAGTCCGCGGGCATTTTCACTAGCCCGCATTTTTTTTTCTAATCTCAAATAAAAAATGGCGTATTTTCAGGCTCAATTCTGAGGCAATTTTGTCAGTGTTTTTGATTTACAGATCTAATAATTTAAACCTTTAAAACAGTTGATAAAATTAGACACAGATTTATAGGGTTTTCTTTCTGAATTTAATGATTTATTTCTTCCTGTATGTTCACCTTTGCCGTATCCCAATAATTTTTCACTCGCCAGCCAAGCTAGTTCAGGAATAGTTTGACTAGCCCCGCCGCTGTTTTGACTAGCATTTGGCTAGCGGGCTACCGCTAATTTCGAACCCTGTGAAATGTAGACAGGTATTTTTCTCCGGACGCTTGGCCTTCGTAAATCTGAATAGGTGGGTTGGTTGGGGGTGGGTGATGGGGGGGGGGGGGGCTCTCGTACCATACTTTCAGTGGGGGCGTTGTTCAAATCCGACGCTGATCAACATTACAGAATAGTGTAGAAATACACCCGTAAACCAGTTGGCTCCGACAAAATTCTGTGCACAGGCGGATATTATATAGCCTAATTATCTTTTTTTTGTGGGGGGGGGGGGGGGGGGACCCGGGGGTGGGGGTCAGAGAGGGGGGGGGTGTCACATTATTTTGAATATATTTCTATGAAAAACAAATTTGAGTAAAATATGAGTCCAGTTTCTGCTGTAATTGAAACCGAAACCATGCCAATTCTGTCAAGTGAGGTAAATGGTTGGGATTGGTTGTGTATGCCTATTTTGCCTTTTTAACGAAGCAGGATTCTTAGGAGTTTTCATTATTTGAGTTGGAGAAAAACACACAGGTGGCAATTATAAGCGCGGGGTTTCGGCGTAAGAATATAAGTTACCAATGTTTCTCTATATTCGATGAAATACATCTTCGATGCTCATCACTGTAAGCTTTGATGCAAGTTTGATTGTTATCAGCTCCAGTCAGATTTGACTAAGTACCCCAATATATCCCAATATATTTTTTTAATTCACCTGGATCGTGCAAGCTGAACCTTTCGCGTGAATCGAAAGTCTATAAACATTTTTTGAACTACATTGTACATGTATCATAATGTAGAGATATGGATGTGTTTTTTTAAATGTAAATTTTTTTTAGGGAATAGACCCAAAGCGCGACCCGTCACGTACAGGTTGCTTTTTTTTAGGGGACTTTACTTCTGCCCAGTACTATGAGGGTCAGAGGTCAACCTTTGCGCGCGCGCGCGAATTTTTTTGTAGAAAATGTATTACATTGTATTCTATCACGGGTTGCCAAACTATGGAAAGCCCAACACTGCAAAAATGAAGAATAGTTATTAATAGTAACAACAATATTTTTTGTTGAAAACAGAAAATTATTAACAAACGCAACAAAACACTTCCTAAACATGCTTTTTGAAGAATGCTGCAGTAACATTCAAACAAGTTAGAAATTATATCAGAACATGAGATATCCAAACGTCATGAACGTGAAAACATTTGAATTTTAATGTAAAACTTTACGAATTTGGAATGCCTGTTTGTAATTTAACAACAGTCGGAAATTGACCTTGAAAACCTTAACTTTAATAATAGTTAATATAGAACGATCGTTCATTTCATGAGTATTTCTCTTAGCGTCAGGGAATAAAGTACGGCCTACTTGTAGTAGTAGGCCTAATGAATAAATAAAATGCAAAAGAAATTTGGTAAATTTTGCATTTTCAAGTTCGATACATCAGAAATAAAAGTCAAATAATGTGTCGTACATGTTTCACATCACCTAGCCTAATTAAAACATTAACCATAATTTGAACTTTTTACCATGGTGTTCAATCTCTTTTTGGAATGTGTAGGCCTACGGTGTTGGCCCTTAAACAACATGTCAAAAGGGCCGGTTTGGTTTGTCATTTTTCTTGGGTCGCAACGATTCACTCCCTCAGCCTGACGATCCTCAGTCACTCTCAATCTCGATCACGGCTGGATTGGGCTTCTCCTTCCTGGCCTTGACGAAGCGGCCAGGGCAACGTACCCACCCACACTTCTGTCGGGTGCGACTGACGTACGACTCGGAAACATCTAGTCCGAAGACCTTGTCTAGGATCTCTCGAACCTTGTTGGTTGTCAGCCCGTTGTCGTCCAGGTATAGCTCGTGGATCATCTGCCTCAACCACGGCGGAAACTTGGCACGGCCTCCCGTTCTTGGACTCTCGACCGACGACGAACCCGCTAGCTTGAATTGCTTCAGGAATAAACGCAAGTTACGCCAGCTGACGGTGAGGCCATCCTCACTGAGGGCCTGCATGATATCTTTCTGGCTAGCCCCGGAGGAATGCAGAGAAGTGATGCGCTCTCTGGCGCTCGGTGACAATCTTTTGACCATGTTGCGATGAAATATCGAAACGATTGAATTACGATGCAACACAGGATAGATCTTTGATACATGTGCGAAGCAATCACGTGCGACGTGCACACAACAAGCTTCACGTACATGTACGTACATAGTACATGCATGCTCCAAGTTCGCGCAAGGACTATAGTTGACCAATGGTTAACTAACGTTTGCCCGAACTCTGTCTAGTCTAGTAGTCGACGGTGGTTGACTACGCTAGTCGACTATTTGGAACCTGCGTTTGACTAGAGACGTAACGTTCGCACGTTGCTATCAGTGCGCAGGCGTAAGGTACGTCACAAATCAACCACTAGTCGACTAATGGTCCTTGCCCGAACTTGGCCTATGCAGCAGATACACAGGCACGCGCACGCGCGCGCACGTACACGGCGCGTGTGTTGCGCGTGGACGTGGCAGGGCGCTCGGTACGCGGTGCGCATGCACACTGTACTGAAGGCATTTCTCTGGGCATGACTTGTTTTCTGGCAGATCGTTTGGGAATAAAATAATAGCAGAACATCTAGCAGAATGGAAATCTGGCAGATGTTCTAGCAGAATTATGAAAAATGGTGATCCTAACAGAAAAATTAGTTTTGTTTTGAACAAGCTTAAATTATTTCAAAGAAAACCTTGAACATGGGTACTGACTGGATGGCGCATATAATTCACACATGTTCTGGATTTGACATGCTTTTTGTTCACAAACGTTGATGTTCTAAAAAGAACAAATTTTGCCGTAATAAGGACATTTTATAACATCTGTATATAAAAGGTTTTTAATGTATTTTGTGTAATTTTAGGTGATTTAGCAGTTTTTTGTTGAATCTAGCAGAATTTTGAAATGGACATAGCAGACATTATTGCGATTTTCGTCTGCTGATAATGGGCTCAAATTCATGGATTTCCAAAGATATCAGGATTATGTATCAAAATAGCAGCATAGCTACAGATTAAGTACTCATGTCTCTCCGTTAGACTGTACTTTTAATGAGTTAGCAAACTTTTACAGTCTGTTGCTCCTACATGGGCAGTAAAACAAAAAGCGGAACCCAAACCCCCAAAATTAAATTTCATATTTAAAAAAAATATGTAGCACCAAAAATAAAAATTGACTTGAAAGCCAATTAGATAAGCTATTTTTGGATGAAAAAATTACTGAAATTGCACAATACTTTCAGAGATCATCACCATTTAAACACAATAACCCTAAAATATCTTTCGTCCAAACATGCGATTTCAAGAATTGTTGTCACAATCGTCTTCAAGCATCACCAGTGATAAAAACTCAGTTTAAAAGTTAAAAATATTCAACAAAGTCCATTTGAAGGACCGTCTTTGTAAAAAAAGGGGGATTGCATAAATCATATTGTTTGCCTAAAGTAACCAGGGTTTTTAAAAATACTGATGTTGACAGTTGTTGGAACAAGTATTCTGTGTCATTTTTTTTGTTGCTCCAAACAGTCAGAATACACAATAATGTTTTTTTTTTAAACAGGTTTTAGGGTCACCGCGTTTAAATGAGGATATTTTTTAGAACTGATTGAGCAATTTTGGTAATTTTCATCATCTAAAGAAGCTAATGAAATTGGCTTTCCAGTCATTATCATTCTTGGTACTACTTTTTTTTTTTTTTAGATATGAAATATATTTGTGGGTGTTTGGGTTCCGCTTTTTTTTTTACTCGCCCTGTATTGTGACCGATTTAAATGGGAACCGTATCATACAGGGTGGATCACAAAAAAGGAAAAGAAACCGAGATATTATTGCTAATTGGAACACAAGTAGGACACATGTGAATCAAAGGGAGACATCCTCTGTTAGGGTTGAATCTCCTCTTTAAAATGACACCCTGATCATGTCATCACATTCGCTATTTAGATAATTGCGCCACTTTTCAATTGCAGTTTTTGTTGTTGTCATAAGTTTGTCACAGAGTGGAAGGCTATGGTTGCCAATAAAAAAGAGAGATTTCACCATGGAAAGTGGCGCAAGTCTCTAAATAGAACGTTTCATAAAATTGGTCACTGCTCAGTCAACCGTGAATGTAAGGACATGACCAGGGTGTCATTTTAAGAGGAGATTCAACACTAACAGAGGATATCTCCCTTTGATTCACATGTGCCCTACTTCTGTTCCAATTAGCAATAATATCTCAGTTTCGGGGTTTTTTTTGTCCACCCTGCATAGCTATCTGTCCCCATATTTTGTGGTGGGGGGGGGGACCAGCCTAGGCATAGAGTTTAACAACACGTCTAAGGACCTCTTGGTCACCTTGGCCTCCATGGATGTTCTGGTTTAATATGTCCACATAAATTACATCCTATTTCTTTCAGCTAAAGATCGGAGAAATGACCACTGAATTAATCTGAATGCAAAATTTCAAACTTTTATGAAGTGTTCCAGCCCTTCCTGTTTTACAAGACAGTATCACAGTTTTTTGCTAGAATTTGTTAAAAAAATGAAAATTGTTTCCATAGACAATACCCAATATACACCCCCATCGTAATACAACCTAATACACATGGTAAATGCTTTCGGGCAAAATGGGGGGGGGGGAATATATAAATCTACATTCATAACTTGAAAATAATGGCACATAATTATTGTGCATGCAAGTATATAAAAAAAAATAGTCTGTCTCTATTACTTATTTATTCTCATTATGAAATAGATTTATTTTACTAACTGACTAATGGCCATTGTTATATTCATGTTTTAACACTCTACGCATTCGTAACAGCACACAGAAAAATGAAATTTACTTATAATGGTCAACAACTCTTCTGTACAAAGAACTCTATAACTCGAGACTAACTGGAATGCTTTCTACGTAAGCTGTTTAGTAACAAAATCATTCCACTATACAAGATACTGATCGTGGTTTCATATAGACCTTATTCAATAGGAAGCCATTTTTGATCATGTTCCCTGAATGTATTTTATAAATTGTAAACTGTTGAATGGGAGGGTGCCAGACTATTTAAGTGTTCCTGCCTCACTTGAAATGTGTTTAACAAAAGTTTCAATTATTCATCAGAGCATACTAGTATTGATTTGTAACTAACTTTACTTCATTGCTTTCATTTCTATTCGCAAATTCCAAAAAAAATGAAGAAGTAACCTCGCTTTCAATTTAATATGGCCGACTCGTGAGTAAAGACTAACATCAGCTTCTGGCCAAGTCAATCTCGTGGTTTGCACATCTTCAAATAACGATCTCTTGGTTTGCATATCTTCAAATAACTACCCAGTCAGGTTGTAAATGTACACGCTCCCCACAGCAGTGAGTATGCACCATGCATACATTGCTTTTACAAGATAACGTTGGTGAACCAATATTAAAATTTATAAAATCTTTGTTGGACATTTACTGAAAACTAAACATATAAAGGCAATAACAAGGCATAGGAAAGAGATATTGAGTGTTCATAAAACTTAATTAATATTAAACAAAAATGAGACCATCAAAACTTCCCCAGAATTTAGCCCAATTTCTGCCACATGGTTTAGAACTTCTGTTGACAAAAGGATTATGATTTTTTAGCACAAAATAGAGATGGACAGCCCTTTGGCCCACGCAAAACGTGGGGTGCGGGTGAGGGGAGTATTCGCCACCCAAAACCATGTACTTTCCCTTCAATTTTTATTCTGTTTTTCCCTTTGTTTTATCTTTTTAACAATTCAGAAGGAAAGCCTGCCTTCAAATTTTATGAAAAAAAATTCAAGCAAAATCCGAATGCTATGTTCTTTCTCTGTTTGGTTCCACTACCAGTTCCCGATACCCTGTCTGTTGGTCCATTTCTCTCTTGAAGACCACGTTGGGAAGTTGCCCAAGCAAGATCTCGGCGGTGGTGAAAACTTCCATTGTCCCCATGACGTGCCCACCTATAACCTGGAAGGCAAAGGATAAAATGACAATGTGAAAAAGTCATGAAAGCAGACACATATAGCATGTCCTTACCTAGCCCCATAAATGTGGCCTATTTACCGGACTACCTCCGTAAATAAAGGCCACACTATCAGCTTTACTCACAACGTTAGCACTTGGTACCAAATTTATTTTCGCATTCTGGCTGCATACATACAATGTAGTTGATTTCTGCTTTAAAAAACACTCAACTTGTTAATAAAAAATAAAAACATAATACGCAAGTGTTCAACTCTCGTGCCATTTCCAGATCCTTTTTGGCTTCCGTTTGTGTGGAACTCAATTGCGCCATGTTCCAACTGAACAATGCTCTCGCCCAATATACAGGGATCGTTCACCTGTCAGTCACGCGCCGCACCGCATGTCCGGTAGTCTTGGCCCAAGACTGGCTTTGGATTATTTTTGTCTACGTGCAGTAGGTATATAGCGTGCACGCGCGCTGGCAAGCACAGCCACATGACATCAACGGTAGAGGGCGCTACCGGGCATGCGGCAGTAAATCTGGTAGTGTGGCCTTTATTTACAGAGGTAGTCCAGTAAATAGGCCAAGGATATGGGGCTAGTCCTTACCCAACTTGAGAATGAAAATTTGCAGCTTTGTTGAGGTAAATGAAATGCTATTTCATCCTCGAGGTGTGAAAAATAAAGACCACAGAGACCTAGCCTGCCACGGGCAATTTCCAAAGATGTGTCAACCGATGCATTTTTGGAAATTTCTATTAGTAATTGGTTTGTAATTTGGCAAATCCTTGAATGGTGAGCGCAAGCCTGGACATTGCTATTATTCGGCAGTTCAGTGCGTGACTTCGCATAGCTGCAGAACGTGTCCCGGATGCTGATTTCAGGCACAGTTAAAAAAAACACGACTTGGCAACTTTTGAGTGAAATCCAGATCGTAGAATACTGTTTTCTCAGAACATACAGCTTTCCCTGAGCTAAAACTCCATCAGGCTAGTTGTTAAGCACGTGTCTCTAGATTTTGAGCACTTTTGTTGCTTCAAATGAAAAAAAAAGATCCACCCTACCTTTACCTTGAGGTTGTTTTTTTTGACATGTTCTGTTGTATATTTTGAAAGGAAGCCTTCACTTCCACAAAGTGATTTTTGAATAATTAAGCCAAAATTTATTAAATTGAATAAATAAACTAGAAAGCACTCAAAGAGCGCAAACCTCTGCCAAGGCTAGACAATTCTCCGCCATATTGTCTGTACACCAAAAAGATAGTAAATGGTGAGGAATCCTTTAAAAAAAATCCTGGATCCAGACCCAGATCCGGATCACTTCCAAATCTAATCGATTTGTAATTGTGCAAGGACCACCCCTAAGAAAGCTTAATGTAAATCCGTCCATAATTTTTGAGTTAACCTGTTAACAGACAAACCAAACAATCAACCAACAAACTAACCAAATCCGGTGATTTTACAATTGCTGCCTGTTGTAAAGGGGTCCATGGTGTTTTGTACACCTGAGGGTGTACAAAACCCATGGACCCCAATCACGGCAGGCAACACTTGTTTTGTTATACCACGGTAATAGATTGCAACCGTCTGAAAGTGTGGGTTTCCTCCAGTTACCGTGCAGTAAATCGCGGAAGTATTATTTTGAAAAGATCCGTGAATTTCTCCAAGAATGTTTTTAAATTGCACAGGAGCACAAATTAATTTACCTTTTCCCAGAATAGACCAATCCATTAATCCCTACCCCGTTACACACCAGACACAGCTGCAACTGTGGTCTTTGTGCATCCATCCGGCATAATGCGCGTGTGTCCCTCCGACATGCGTTCACGCCTGTGCGCGCTGTCTGAAGCCTCTTACCCAGGCAAATTCTATTATACAAGGCGGTGGAAACAAAACTTTGAACAGTGGGGACGATCAAGGTGATGTACCCCATGGGGTACATCACTCACGTACCGAGAAGTGCGCCCCTGACACAGTTCAGGTATTTGCTGCACATCACGTGCTTGGTTCTCGACCAATGAAACATCACAATCTATTACCGTGGTATAACAAAACTCCCTGGCGGAGGCAATAATCGTAGTGTGCCTACAACATACCTTTCCCTCCTCATCGGCAAGAGATGCATGTAGGTGCATACCAGCAGTAGAGACTGTCCCTACCAGTGACACAATCTCATGATTACTAGTCAGCTTCACCACCTGAAAATCATATAGATTTTGAAAACAAATATATTTTCAGCACGAAACGTTTTTTATTTCTGGAACTTTAGCAAACTAAAAGGGTGTTTAAAAAGCTGATTATGCCATGACTACCTCTCCTGAAAGGGGGGGGGGGTTTGATATGACAAAAAGCAAGGATTCTTTGAAAACTTTCAAATGGGTCTGTTGTTTGCAGTATTGCAATATATTGGATAGTAATGTAATATACAAGTATCGGCTCCGTGCGAAAGTTCCCCCTCAATGGAAAGAAAGGGAGAGTTGGGGGAGACCACCGGCAGAGACATATGAATGCATTGCCGATGACGCCTGATGCTCGCGCAAAATGCTATATGGCTTTGTGCATATTTCAGAATAAAATTAGCCGTGAGTATTTCACACTATACGTGCTTCAACCAGTATGCACACACAGCATAAAAAAGCGGTACAAAAACGCCCTCTATTGTCATGCATGGAACCCACAGGATATACCTTTAAAATGCTTCCAATACATACTGTACTGCAGAGTATGCCAAAAAAAGTGCAACATTCAGAAAACAAATAATTAAAACTGTGTAATGTTTTTGTCTTCAATGAAATTATATATTACATTCAAGCCTGACTATTTCTCAATCCACTCCTTTTTACCCCATTCCATTTGGATCCCTAGATCCAGAAATAGAAATCAATTAAGTGAAAAGGAGTAAAGAAGTTTACTTGGGCCATAAGCAATATTAACTCAAATTTTTTTTTTTTTTATTTGGCCAGACATCAGCCATTCTGCTACATCTTCTTTACATTACTTTAAGAAGGACTATGTCAATTTAGGACAACCGCAAATCTGGATCAGCGGCCAGTTAGAATAAGGCAGTGGATATTTAGCCGGAGACGGCAAACCTTTAGTAAACGTTAGCTTGCCGGATATGCACTGAACATGCGCAGTTACTGTTTTTTTTGTACTTAGACATTTCCCGGTGACTAATTTTAGTCTGGCTCCATGCCAACATTATTGTTGTAACTTCGTATTCACAAGATGGGAATCAGACCATTTTACAATTTCGGACTTTATTTCCCTTTAAAAAAAATCCTCCAGAGCCACAAATCTGTAAAAGAAAATTTAATACTCTGCAATAAAATGTTTGAGACATGTTAAAATAATAAAAGAAGAATATTCTTATTTTTTGGGGATGGGGAAAAAAACCTTAGAAATGTCACCAGCAGGGATCGGGATCGAACCCGGGTCTTCCCGCTCATGAGATCCGTTGCTTATCCACTGGACCAAGAGTGCTACACAACCGTTGGTGGTAATTTAATATATCTTATAATTCACCCCTATCTTAGAGAGTACAGCGCCCTCTGTTGATATGGATTGCCGCCGGCAAACCTTTAGTAAACGTAAGCTTGCCGGCATTAGCTCCGGCAAAATATCCACTATCTTTACCCGTGCAGTACCGTTTTTCTTAACATGTTGACCTCTACATAAATTTCTCAAGGTCATTTAGCCAACGACGCACTAGCAGATCTCAGTCTTTAAATTGCCATCCGCCATGAAATATTTACTTCGAGGTTCAGAACCTCAAAAAGAACCTCACCGTCTTGGAGTCTGCCAGCCTCAGCTCTGCACGCCTCACACTGCCAACACAGGACAGGATGCAAGCAGCCTGGATGCCTCTCTCCTCCACCAGCCTCCTCAACGAGTCCTTGATGTCCTCCCCAGGATGCAGCCTAAGGGCTAGGCAGCTCAGTGAGGAGCTACAGGCCGGCGGTGCACTGACTGATGATGAAGATGATGATGATGCCGAGATGGATGAAGAGGAAGACAGCTCCTTGGTGGGTGCGGGTACTTTTTCTCCTCTGGCATGCTCCTAGTGTGAAGCAAAGTATTCAAACCATGTTTGATTTATAGAGACCACAACCTGGGAGAAATGTCTAAATACGTTATGTGACTGTAAAGTAACTGTCTCTGTTGGTATGTGATTCTGAGAATGCCGTGCTGAATGCATTCCATATTCGAATATTCGATCATGACTTGAATATCCGAGTGGCATTTTTTGTATTTAAATATTCAAGAAATATGAACCGGTTTGAGGATATGATTGAAATATGTCTGTGATGTTCTGTTAACTCAGGGGATTCATAATGCAGTGTACCACCAAGAGTTTGTCATGGAGAGTCCATTTTTCAAGTTTACGGCCGACAAAACACGGCCCATTTGAATGAGTGTCAGTAGACAACTTGAGCTAATTTGTTATAGATTGGGGCATGGCGTTCTGCTGCCTTTCCCGTCATATTGATAAAAGGGAAAGAAAACGGCAAACATACCTACTCGAATCATACGCTTACGAAATTACTGACCGGAAAAACTAACTATTTCAAATGTCCCGCGCTGCGAATTTGTCAACCATCTCCCACAATGCACTGGGAAAAATGAACTCTCTGTGGCAAACTTTTGGAGGCGCGCTGCATTGCAAATCACCCAAATTGTTGAAGTTGCAAAGTTTTGTTTGTCAAATGCCACACTTTTGGACAAAAGCCCAGTTTTCGCACAAGCTTCCATGAGAAAATTAAGTTCAAGTTTTGGCTTTAAAATCATTTAAATATTTTAATAATATAATACCACATTTTCACGTCTGCTTTCTACGACCATGCTTCTGTGCAAATAGGTCCTGAACTTCTAAACAAACTTTGAAACATTACCTGGTTCTCCACAACTCTCAGCAGCCTACTAGCTGACGGGGACTGGGTTTGGTTGTGGTGCGCTGACTGCATATTTCCCTGTGATGACTGGGCATGCTTCAAGCGCTGTTGCGTGTCTGTATGAGATAGTTGGACTGGATATACACTTCGTGGTTCGGGCGTTCTCCCTGAGGTTTTTAAGAACATCTGGAGCAGAAAGAGCAATGATAAAAAAGTGCATGTGTATTACAGTGGAACACCGCTATAACAAACATCCTGGGATCCACAGAAATTGTTTGTAATAATGATCGTTCGGTATAGCGATTTTAAGCTGTTAGTGCTCTGATACTCACAATAAATAGCGCCCTTCAGAACTTCACTTGCACCTGCACGCCCTGGTAGATACTGAAACACGACTTTGAACATGTGCTGACTATTGAATCATGTAATTACACAGTTTTTGAGTTTACTACTACCTACAGCAAAGGGTGGCTTTCCCCTTCTATTCCTTGGGGAAATAATAGCCACTTGTCAGTCTTCTAGTTCCACTGATATTTTTCAACAACAATATTCGGTAAGTTTTGTGCTCAAAAATCGAGAGCCAGGGACGATGTTTAGTATAGCCGAATGTTCGGTTTGCAATGTTCAGTGTAGCGACGTTCCACAGTAATGCAATACCTAGATGTAATTTCATAAGGACTGTATACTCAGTGCTGTCAAAGATCTAGCATTCACAAGCTTGCTTGAGACTTGGACCCAAGACCCGCCCACCAGTGCACATCTTACCACTCACGTACTGAGCCAGCATGGCTGGCTGACAAGTCAGCCTACTTGAGACTTGGAGCTTAGTCGAGACTTGGACCCAAGACCCGCCCACCAGTGCACATCTTACCACTCACGTACTGAGCCAGCATATCAGCCAGCCTACTCGAGACTTGGAGCTTAGTCGAGACTTGGACCCAAGACCCGCCCACCAGTGCACATCTTACCACTCACGTTCTGAGCCAGCATGGCTGGCTGACAAGACAGCCTACTTGAGACTTGGAGCTTAGTCTGTTAGTGGAGACTTGGACCCAAGACCCGCCCACCAGTGCACATCTTACCACTCACGTACTGAGCCAGCATGGCTGGCTGACAAGACAGCCTACTTGAGACTTGGAACTTAGTCGAGACTTGGACCCAAGACCCGCCCACCAGTGCACATCTTACCACTCAAGTACTGAGCCAGCATGGTTGGCTGACAAGTCAGCCTACTCGAGACTTGGAGCTTAGTCGAGATTTGGACCCAAGACCCGCCCACCAGTGCACATCTTACCACTCAAGTACTGAGCCAGCATGGCTGGCTGACAAGTCAGCCTACTCGAGACTTGGAGCTTAGTCGAGACTTGGACCCAAGACCCGCCCACCATTGCACATCTTACCACTCAAGTACTGAGCCAGCCATGGCTGGCTGGCTGACTTGTTATTGTTCATTCCCTGTTACTTGTGAGCTTTCTAGTGATTTGAACTAACGTAACGTCTCTACCTGTGTGACATCCAGGCTACTCACCTCGAACAGCTGGATCTCGTGTTCTTTGCTCATCCTTTCTCGCCTCTCCTCAGCGGCCGCCTGCTGCTCTAAGAAGGTTCGATTCAGCTCCAGGACAGTGTCCCGCATCCTCTCCATGTTCTCGTGGTTGAGTTGCTGCAGGGCGACCAGACTAATCGAGCCAGGCCCAACCCTGTCCCTGTCCATGCAGCCGCTGTCGGGTCGAGGGGAGTAGATGTGGGATGCCATGTTGCTTGGATCATGTCCGTGTGCAGCATCCTGAGGCTCGTACTCCCTAGGCTCATTGTCGCTCAAATTGGCACCATCTTGGAGGAACAAATCATCAGCTGTAAGAACATGAACCCTAAGCTCTTTCAAAAGACCGTTCCAGATCTTTCAAAAACCATCAAAAGGTTTGTAGAGGAGTTTACAGGATTAACTTGACAGTGTTGAGAATGATATAGGGATATTTGCAAAGAATCTTCCTGAATCCTACAAAATCCTCCACTACGCCAGAAAACAATGGCATCAATCCCAGTGTGAAATAATTGTGATTGGGCTCAAACTTCCTCAATCCTGCAAAATCCTCTAAAACCTCCGAGTGCGTTTTGAAGGATCTGGTGGGTTTGAGGGTGTTATTCATTTTACGTATGGCAATGTAAATTTAATGAAACAGGGTTTTGTTTTTAGTATCACATGCACTCATGCAGTGCATTCCCCTGAACAAATGTTCACTAAGGCCAAAAAAAGTCTCTGGTTTCTGGTATGGAGCTTGCCCTAAAAGTGGTGCGGCGACGCGTTTTTTTTTTTTTTTACCTGATTGTTTTGCTTCAAATGTCGGCTGATGACTGCAAATGGTGCCGGACTAAACTTAGTGCAAATATATGGGAGTCCAGAGAGGCTACATAAAGCTTATTCTCGACCATAACCCAATCTAAAATCACGTTAAAATTGTGCAGCAGCAGGATTCCAGTCAAACCAGTGAGTTTGGCGGTTTTGAGACATCATCTTTCATTGGAAAAAAACTTTTTCATTTTGCCGACGAGCATGGCTACGGCGACGCGCACGCATACCAGAAACCGGACACTTTTTTTTTTGGCCTAATAAAGTCTTTATTAAAATTATGTGTCCATAAAAAAGTACCCCCAAAACAAAGGGATGATATGAACAAACAATAAACTGTTTACCATAAATATCATAAACTTTGGGTGTAAGCTTTCCATTTATATCTTGGATGCACATATTTGGTCATGCATCAGCAAGCTCCATCATTTTGAAAATGGTATGTAGAAACCCTCTTGGGACAGTTTAGGTAAAACATTGTGAACACAGCCAGACATGATACAAGTAGGTTCACTGCCTCTCGCTTCCAGGCGGAAAAACCGCCTCCCCAAAGTAGCAGGCGAGGCGGAGCCTCGTTGTCCATATTATGCCCCAACTATAGCACTGAAACCACTGTCCCATCCTTGCTATTTGTTGGGATCAATAGTTGACCAATTCTACAGTTTGGATGCAACACAATTGAATTGACCTCAGAAAGCTACAGAATTATATCTGTTTTGGGCAACATGTTATAGTCAAATTTACCAGCACTACAGCCGTCATACAGCCTGCCATTCTCATCACCATCTCTGTACTCTATGGGCAGCAGTGATTCCTCTTGTCCCTCAAACTCTCCAGGGTTGTTGTGGAAATCCTGGCCCCAGACCCTCTCCAGCTGTTCGAAGAAAAGACCGGACTGCCGAGTGACGGACTTGCTGCAGTTGCTGCCGTTGCGCAGCTTGAGCTCCCGGAAACCCTTGCGCAAGTTCTTAGTCTTGTTCCGGCACTGGGCCGGCGTCCGGTACACCCCGTGCTCCCTGAGTCGTCGGCAGATCTCGTCGTAGACGGTGTTGTTTCTGAAGATGCCCCTGAGTTTTCTCTGTATGCTGGGGTCCCCCCAGATGGAGATGAGGTGTCTGGTGTCTTCAACGGTCCAGATTTCACCACGGCTACTGTCCTCATTAGCCTTGATGTCACTAGGTGTTATGTCAGGCTTTGTATCCTGAGTGGCCATCTCCATTTATAACACCTGTGCGTAATAATAATAATAATAAGAATAATAATAATAATAACATGATTTATTGCGCCCATTTTCACAAGTTACAATGCACGACTATGGACAACTCAAGAAGACAAAGTTACAGAATACATGGAGAGAATAGATGAGTTTTCATGTCCAGTAAAAAAAAATTAAAAATTCGAGCGACATTTATGCATTATTCATAAATACCTAAGACAGTTTACGCATTCCTATCGGTCGAGAGCCCGTCACGTGGCCGGTCTTAAACGGATGATAAAGACATGGCTAGCTGGTCTTAAACACTTTTCCAGTGTCACAATAAAATGTGGACTCCTAAAAATCCAGTGCCTCTTATCGTTTCATTGGTTGAACGTTCACAATCCTCACGTAGGCATGCGCAACACTACCAGGGAGTCAGAATTTTATAGTTCTAAATTCAAAACGCAACGCGCCAGGTGCGTTCTGCGCGACATCGCGCAGAACATGATACGCGCGCGTCAATCTCCATAAAAGGGTTGTTTACATCTTACTCGCCAGCTGAACACTCCATTATTTTGCAAGAGGGATGTTTCAAACAGCATAAAGTGAATTTGTTGAACAAAATCGGGATGTTTTGAACAAATTATATGATTTTTTCTTACCGAAAAGGTATTTATGAATGGGAATAAATATGTGCTCCGTCGGTATTTATCACTCTGTTTAAGACCACTTAGAGTCTGGGTGCTGATAATTACCCTCGCCAGCACCCAGACTCTAAGTGGCCTTAAACAGAGTGATAAAAACCTCCGAAGCACACATTTATTCCCTTAGTAATATGGGCTATAGGCCTAAGTGTTAACGGGATTCACTTTTATTCACCCTTTTACTGCTTTATGTGTATGTACTGACCTAGCCCCATAAATGTGGCCAATTTACTGGACTACCTCCGTAATAAAGACCACACTTGGAACATACATGTACAAAAACATGTAGGCCCTAGCTAGAACGTTGTCAAATTTTGATTTTCACATTTAGGCTTAGTTTGTAGTTTGTTTTTGCTTTAGAAGCATAGGGCCTACTCACCCTCTTTAGAGGTAGTCCGAGTAACCCAACTTATCGCCTCTTTAATATTCGGACATGGTCTGGCGATTGTAGGGTCCAAGCTTATCCTTATAATTTTATATGCCGAGCAACACAATTCTGTCATTGACCCAAAAACCCAACATTGCCCAACAAAAACATCAGATTTACCCTCAAAACGGCCTCCAAATTACTAGATACGCCGCCTGAGGTACAAGTAGACATCTATAAATAAGATGGTTGTACTGAAGTTTACTTACGATCTGGATGAAAAGTGAAATTTCCCGTTCTATTCCATGAACTCCCCTCGCGATCATGAACACATTAAATTTCCGATTCTGTTTGAATTGCGATGTGGTCTTCATGCCCAGCGTTCATTCGATGGTCCCCGTATCCTGAGTGCGATTCCGTTACCGAGCGCACGCGATGCATCGATTATGATAATAAGTAGACTGGATCACGTTTGTAAACACAAGTGCATTTTGAATGGCAAAAGGGAGTTGGGAACTAGCTTGAACTGGTTTCCGCCCTTAAAAGCTGCCCTAGTTCCCGACTCCCTATTATCGTTCGAAATGTACATGTACTTGTGTTTACAAATGAGATCCAGTCTACTCATTATCATAATCGATGCATCGCACTCGGTAACGGAATCGCACTCGGGATACATGGACCTTAAATATACGCTGGGCATGAAGACCACATCACGTCATTCAAACATTAACACAAGTCGGAAATTTAACGTGTTCACGATCACGAAGGGAGCTCTCGGAATTGAACGGGAAATTTCACTTTTCATCCAGATCGTAAGTAAACTTTAGTACAACCATCTTAATCATCGATGTCTACTTGTACCTCAGGTGGTGTATCTAGTAATTTGTAGGCCATTTTGAAGGTGAAATCTGATGTTTTTGTTGGGCAACGTTGGGTTTTTGGGTCAAGGCCTATACGGATTAGCTTGGACCCTATCGCCAGACCTAGTCCATAAATGTGACTGAAATACTTGACTACCTCCATATTGGACCCGTGAACGTGGCTATATAACGCCACGTTCACGGGTCTACTTCCATATATATGGAGGTAGTCAAGTATTTCAGTCACATTTATGGGACTACGCCAGACCATGTCCGAATTTTAAAAAGGCGATAAGTTGGGTCCGAGTTACTCGGACTAGCCTACTTTCCTACAACGCAGTGGCTATTGTTACGGCAGCCGTAACGCATTTCCAATTTTCTATCGTTACGGTAGTACTGCAACTTTTATAAAACTTTTATAAGAAAATATAAAATTAGAAGGAAAAAAGTGAATTTGAACGTTATGAAATTCGGACTTTATTTTCCCTTTAAAAAAAAATCTTCCAAAGCCTCAGGTTAGAAAAGGAAAAAAAATTGAAAAAAAAACTGAGATGCAAACCCGCAACCTCGCGGTGCAAAATCCTACCCTCTATCGACTGAGCTGTTGCACTGCTCGCTAAAATGTGGGGAAACAAATAGCTGGAGTTACCCAGCCCTGAGTTTTATCATTGGGTTGTCATCTAGGGCTGGAGCGAGTTTTTCTCGTAACTTGTAGTATAGGCAAAACATTTTGGAAAATGTTCAATTTTGTCCCCGTTACACACTAATTGCAACTGCAACTCACCCCAAACTTGCCTGGAATAACCATTACACAGGTCCTTGAAGTAAAAAACGATCCACGATGAAGATTCAGCCTACAATTGCAGTGAAAACAGGAGGAATAACCGCTAACCTGACAACCTTTCAGGCATGGCCAGGACTGCAATTGGTTTGTGCACAAAAAAAATTGTGTACAATGAATGGCGGTCGAATAACAGGCACAGAGAGCGATCGCTGTCAACTACTCGGTTTTGCCGGCTGCGCTGGCTGTTGGCGCATGACGTCACGCGGAAGCGTAACACCCGATGACTGTTTCATGCACTATTGGTTGCGGTTCCAGTACCAAAGCTGTGATGCGAGTGGTAAACCCTATACTACAAGTTACGAGAAAAACTCGCTCCAGCCCTAGATGACAACCCAATGATAAAACTCAGGGCTGGGTAACTCCAGCTAGGAAACAAATAATTGTATACCTGCGTGCGTATCAAAAAAGTATCGTAGAGGGCGCTAAACAACGGCTGCCGTAACGATAGCCACTTCGTTCCTACAAAGCTTTGTAAAATAGCTAGGCCCCCTAGCCATTGCTAGCTGTAGCTGCAGGCCCCCTAGCCATTGCTAGCTGTAGCTGCAAACAAAAACATGGGCATTTGCATTTTGCAAACATAATTTTTATCTAGTTTAAATCAAAAATAAATCAGAAATGAAAAATCTACGAACCGCTACGGTGAGGCTCTAGCTCTCTCAGCCTTTCCTTTAGACGGACAGGCCTTGGTTTTCACTTGAACTTCTTTGATCTTTTCAGAAATAAATGGATTGGCGAATTCATAAGTTCAAGTTCTACTAGTACAACAACAATACAGACAGGCCGGATATCCGGGTATAGGTACGTACTAGCCTTGCTTCAAGACGTTGTTGGGTGATCAATCAACAACACAAGAGGGCGCTATCACCAACTGGGATTTGTGATGAACCCATGGTTAATTTGTTTGTTTTGGCCAATTTTGCCAACCACGGGTTGGCAGTACCTATCAATATGTCCTAAAATATACATGTAATATTGCTGAAATACAAAGTAACCAATAAATGCTTCAAAAGATTTCATAATAATGCATATTACGGCCTGAAATCCAGCGTTGTAGGTCTCGAGACCGGTCTCGGTCTCGGTCTCGAGACCACTTTTTGCTGGTCTCGGTCTCGGTCTCGGTCTCGGGAGCTGTGGTCTCGGTCTTGGTCTCGGTCTCGGTCCTCTTTGGTCTCGATATTTTGGCTGGTCTCGAGTCGAGACCAGCCAAAAAGTGAGGGGGCGGATTTTGCCCCGGCCCCAGTTTAGGATTAAGTAGGGAATCAGTTGAGGGCAAATGTGACTGCAGTGTTATGCTGATAGACATGTCTCTCTTCACTTTCTAGTGAGTGAGGCATATAGTCCAACAACCATTGCTCCTTTTCTTGTTTCTTGTTTTTATTGTGGGATGGTTTGTTGAAACAAGCACTTCATAGCAATCCTCATTGATTCCAAATACAACTGAGATTAAAATCTTATGAATCAAGATTGAAGCATTATTTTTACCGTCAGATTTTTTGTTTTGAATATGGGAAATAATTCAACTCTTTTTCCCCAGAAATATTGGTGATTTTTTTTCTATTTTCCTTTTCAATTTTTACTTTATTCGTGGAGGCGGGAAAACGTTTTTTTCCCCATTATATTTATTAATGGATATTCATCAATTCGTAGACCGTTAAATTGCTATTAGTGGTGGACAGCTGAATTTTGTGATCTCTTTATTAAGATAGGCACGACTTGGGAATAGAGAATGCAAATTTTCAGAGTTACTACTCAATAACATGTTCTTTATCCCAATTATATATTTCTTTTACAAATATGGAGAGTGCCATTATTTTTTATCATACTGTCACTTTATTTTTGACTTGCCATGTATTCATCTTTTCATTTGTGATAAACACAAATTGAGCTACTGCCATAGTCACACAAAAATAGAGTCTAATTGCCTGCCTCGTCTCCTTTCTAAATGTCAGTTGCGTTTGCATGAGCTAGTCGAGAAGACTTTTGTTCCATTAATCGCTAAATGCTGTTTACGGCCATCACAATAACCAAGAGTGACACAAAGCGGCCCTTCTATTGTGTCGGCCTCATTCTCAAATAGGTTAATGGCGATGATGACAGCGGGCAGATTAACAGAAGATAGATCAGGCAAATATGGTTCATCAATCTTCAATAGTTCAATTCAATTCAATTCAAAGTAACATTATTTCTACATGATCATAAAGAAAAGTACAATAAATATAGATGTGGAGGCACGTTCCAAAAAAGCGGGGCTTGTCAAGGAACAGCCTGTTTACAAAAAACAAAACAAAGTAACAGCTTCACAATAAACGAATAAACATAACAACACCTATAACAAGAACACAAACAGTGTGTATACGTGTACGACAACTAAAATAAGAAAAGAATGATTCAATAAGAAAAAAATAATAAACCAAGATCAGAAAAGTAAAGTAAGTGGGGCATTAGTGAGGTGACTGGTGGATTAACAAAGACTTCAGTTTGTGTTTGAAAAGAGCGAGTGATTTACATTCAGAAAGTGGTAAGGGAAGACTATTCCAGTTTTTAGGGGCTGAGAACGTAATAAAATGTTGAGAGAGAGTGGTTTTAACCAGTGGAATGTGAACTTTAGAAGAAGACTGGGTATTATGACTGTGAACAGATCTGTTTAACTGAAAAAGATTATGCAGAGTTGGAGGAAGTACATTATTGAAGAATTTGAACATTTGAACATGGTATTGACATTATACACAAATAAAGTGGCATTACATTTCAGCCTAAGCCAGGCCTCTCTGGCGACCACCTCTCAATTTTTGGGTCTACATGTACAAGTCTATATTCTATGACTGAAATTTAAAAAAATAAATCAATATTTTCTTGCTCCAAAATTTTTTTGAATCAGGTTTACAAGGAGGTCCAATGTAAAATTAAAGCTGCTTTTAAATATCCGTTAGTAGTCATTGCTGAAACCAAGGGGTGGCTGTGGAGTTTTGGGTCCTGTAACAGTTTAGTTTAGTTCCTATAACAGATGAAACATCCACCTTTAACTTTTTACTTTTGTCAAGTTTCAACATCGCAAAAAACTAGTACAAATTGCCGTACTCCTAAGTTAGAGTTTCTTCATCAGATTAAAACTTTATAGTAGTTAAACAATATTATATTTAAAAAAATATGCTTTTAAAAAAGTGGCAACAATATATGGAGTTCATCAAATTAGGTTTTCCCCTTCTTTAAATTAGGTTGTTTCCCTTTATTTTAATTGATTGTGGCAATAACAAATTCTGTTGCCATGTTGTAATTTATGGTATGAAGCAAACATGAAGAGCACTCGCATGACACAATTAAGCAGGTACAAGTGATTCCTAGCTTTCAATCACTTCCTTCACATCCCCATCAACATCATCATCTCAAGAACAGACTGTTCAGCTGTAATTAGTGACTTGTTTTTGTATTTAGATTATTGTTATTTATTATCCGCGGTCTCGGTCTCGGTCTCGGACCATTTCGGTCTCGGTCTCGGTCCGCTTTGAAGGGGTTGGTCTCGGTCTCGGTCTCGGTCTCGCAACTTCAGGTCTCGGTCTTGGTCTCGGTCTCGGACTATCCGGTCTCGACTACAACACTGGTACACAATAGCCCATTCGTGTGACGTTATGGGGTAATCCTGTACAATAGTACTGCCCAGCGCCCCTACTCCGACACCCCGAGAAATTATACTGGCATTATACGCCTTTCCCCAAAATACGGACAGAACCTGCTGGGTTAGGGGGTATAAGTGTTCATTCGTTTTGAACGTACGCAGGACGGGCATTTACGTCTCAGCCAATGAAAAGCTCTTCTTGCCACGCTCCACCCACAGTTACCGCCCACCATGACCGTCTACTGCCTTAGTTTAATTATTCAAATTGTTCGCTGCTTGCAATTGTATTAATCATGATAACTATTATTCAAATTGTTCGCTGCTTGCAATTGTATTAATCATGATAACAATGCAAGAGGATTCCAAGTCGTTGAGCGGTACAAATATCAACATAACAAAAGAATATTTTAAGTGGCAGGATCGGGAACAATAAAGTGGAGTTGTATAGTGTTGTACCTATAGGCGACATATGACGTGTAAAGAAATGCACTGGAAATGTTGTACATGTACGTGTATACGTGTATAGGACACTGTAGTGCACAACTCAAACTCATGTTGAAATTTTTTTTACCTGATTTTGTTGCTTCAAACCGGAGACTTTTTTTTTGGCCTAATCTCCGATAAATAAAAACTGAAATTAACAAAATAAAAGACTTGTTAACAATTATATCACATGTATTATAAATAAATAATTATATATAAAAATTGGAAGGACTTGCCGAAACTTGGGTCAGCTAAGTTTGTTGATTAGTAGTTTCAGAGCATTGTACTCTTTAAACAGTTTGCATACAAATATTTCTTTTTTATTGGAGATTCAGTTAAGATTAATTTTAAACGTAATGACCCAAACTTTTTTATCAGCGTCGTTAAACATTGGTGATTTACTCTATAAACTTATGATTTACCCCATAAACCTCTTCTTTGTTTATAAACTTATGGTGATATGCATTTAAAACAAGTGCCCTCTCCTCATTATTGATATTCACACGGGCACATTTGTCGAACGTTCCCCATTTCGAGCCTCACTAAAGGCAGTATGTACAGTAGGCTTAAATGCTGAGAGGACTCCCTGCAGTGTGAATTCATATACCTGCACTAAACTAATTACGTGCGTAATTCTGTTTGCCTTACCGACTAGATTTTGTTCAAAACAGATCATGTACAATGTACATGTACTTGCACAATTGCTTCGATAGAGAGATTCAGCAGGCAATGTGTCAGATAGCTTTAATTGTAAGAGATCCTCTTTTGTTATTTAGATTTTTGTACCGCTCAACGAGTTGGAATCCTCTTGCATTGTTATCATGATCAATACAAGCAGCAAACAATTTGACTAATAAAAGTAAGGCTGTGGACGGTCACGGTGGGCGGTAACTGTGGGTGGAGCGTGGCAAGCAAAGTTTTTCATTGGCTGAAACGTAAATGCCCGTCTTGCGTACGTTCAAAACGAATGAACACTATTTGTACATCCCGTAACATATTGTTAATAATCGTCGGATTTGAACAGCGACCGCTTTGAAAGTATGGTACGAGCCACCCCCTATTGATTTTAAGGAGCCAAGTGTCCGGACAAAAAAACCCTGTCTACATTTCAGCATTGATTTGCTGATGAAACCCCCCTCCACAAAAATTCCTGGTTCCGCCCCCGATTGTTGTTGTGCATACACGGCAATTATTATCGTCTACAAGGTGATTCAAAATGCAATCAAATTTGATACACAATTTTGATACAATGAAGTATGTCTAATAAGAGCATGTTCTTCCACTCATCTGAAAAAAGCAGTTACTGAGTATTCCAACAGAAGTTATGCATGTTTTACTTAAAGAAACCATTTTTATAGGTGTCCTTGGAGTGCCATTGAGCGTAGTGATAAAACACACAAGCATTCATTAAAATGAGATATTAATAATTGAAATCAAGACCATTGTTTTTACTGTCAGTTGTAATGGTTTGCATATGAGGAACAAGTCAACTCTTTTTCTTCTGAAATGTTGTTAGCGATATAAAAATCCTTTGCAAGTTCTCGTTCATTCATATAGGTGGGAAAACGTCCATGTTTCATAATACTCAATGTGTATTAACCAGTTCGTAGAATTATCAGAGGTGGACAGCCGAGCTTTTGTGATCTTTTTATTCAAGTAGACATAACGTGAGATTTGAAGGTTTGCATGGTGGAAAGATACTAAGACAAGAAAAGTTTGCGGTAGCACCATGTGAATAACATT